TCTTCATGACTTAGACCTACTACATTATTATTAGTCAACATTTCCGGTAACGCTAAACTGAATTTGTTAAATATCTTTTAATGTATCCGGTAACGCCATATATTAACCGTATATTAACCCGCCTTTCCTGAGACAAGCCCATTTATATTTAATGTTTCATTCACGTAAAAAAGAAAGACAAAGGCACTTGGCCCAAATGACCTAAACCTCGTCCCTTGCGATGCAAATTACCATGGTTGGTCGTTGTGCTTGCCAACCTAACCCAATCCAACTCAACACCTCAAACTAGCCTCGTCCTAAATGATGTGAAAATTTTGTCATTTTTTAAAATAATACCCTAAAATATTTTATAATAAAGATCAATTTGTCAAATTTAAATTTATGAATGACCTAAGAATTTTTTTTTAGCCGATATTCACTATGAAAAATGATTAAAGATGTTGTCAAAATCTCTATTTATAACTTTATCTGCTATTTTTTTAGAGAATTAAACGAAAAATTTATTCTTTATTCAAACGAAAATGTCGTTAGAGCACAAATGTTATACATAAACGAACCTAAATGAAATTTATGTGTGGAATTAAAAAAATTTAAGACCCTGTGACGAATCACATTTTACATTTGTCATTAAACGAGAATCCTTCGAATTTTTTCCCTTAAAAGTTTTTGGCTGTAAAAGTATGTAACATGTCTGTTGCTCTTCATAGACTTCCTTAAAAGCATTAAACGGGTATATTGGCTCTGTCCCAATACACAAGACGAGGATTCAAATAGTATATTACATAATTGTTGTCAAACATACCGACTGTACTATGAACATATATATTTATATATTAGTCACACAAAATTTTTATATAAGGTAAAGACAATTATTAAAATATATAATTATCCGTTTGTGACGTCTCTTAAAAATTATTTTAAATAAATCTTTAAAAATAAGAATAAAATGAAAAAATTATACAGTGTTCATCTTTTTAACTTTTATGATAAAAAAAAGTACCACTAGTTTTTTTCAGTAAATTCAAACTACCACGTTAATACTATTCACTATTTGTAGACACTCATTTTTATCTGGATCTTTTAAGAGTTTTTTTTACAACATTTATAGTATATAGAATCTATGATTACATAAAATATATTGTTTTGTCTAAAAATAATATATGGTTTTTGAAAATATGTAGTATAGTTTTTAAAAACATATAATATATAACTTTTGAAAATATGTAGTATAGTTTTTAAAAACATATAATATATATAGTTTTTTAAAACATATGTAATATATATTTTTGAAAACATAATATGGTTTTGAAAATATAATATTATATATATATATTATTTATTTTCTTTTCTATCAATTTTCAAGTTTTGAACAGTCTAGTCAAAGTTTAGGGTCCTAATAGAATTAAGGTTACAGTCTAAATCAAGTACAATGAAATTAAGATCCAAATAACAGACTCGTCTGACCCAACAGACCGTTAAACTAAGCCCAAAAAGAGACTCGAACCACACTAGGGCTTTACACTTTAGCTGAGCGTCGCAGCAGGAAACCTTCAGATCAGAAAGCAATTAACGGTTTAGATCATGTAACTGCTAGGGTTATGAAACCTTAAAATCTTATCACCCAGGGTCGCACTCATTACAACCGTTGGATCTGACCCAATCTAACGGCCAGAAAGGATCTCAAGAACGTTTCAGATGATGAAACGACTGAGCAAGCCCACAAGTGACGCGTGAAGACCGTGCGCCGAATGAATTTGGAAAGATCTTTGCTGAACCACAAAGAAATCTCAAAAAAGGAAAATCGAATCAATACCATAACAGAACAAATAAAGACACAATTCAAATCAGAAAGAAATCCTCGTCCATGCTGATATCGATCGTATCAGGCTACCATGCTCGAGATGTAAGAGATCTCCACCCCTTCGTCCTTGATCTGCCTCATGCAACTGTGCAGAACAACACACGTGGTCAGCCACTCATGGCGTTACAGGTCACGGAGTTTCCGAACTCCGGGATATGTATAGGGGCGGCGTTTGGCCATGCGGTTGCAGATGGAAGGTCGTTCCATCATTTCATGAAATCTTGGGCGTCCATTTTTAGGTCTGCTGGAAACTCAGCACCAGCCATGCCGGTTTTAGATAGGGGTGTGGTACAGGAAAAAAGACCATTGTGGGCTTTCGTCAGTTTTCTTAAACCAGTTGTGGAGCTGTGAGTCTAACTCGGGAGACGACAAGGAACGAGCCCACCAGTCCGTTTTTGCAGACATGCTTCGGACCACATTAGTTATGAGTCGAGCTGACATCGAGACTAAAACTAGTGTCTTGAACCAATGCGTCGACAGACATGGAGCTGAGCCGCAACGCGCATCAATATTCGTGGTTGCTTGTGCTTTGGTATGGACTAGTTTGGTAAAAACCCAAAAGCTCAGCCTCAGCAGCAGCCTAAACCATCATCAAGATGACGAGTTTTACTACTTCGGCTTCGTGGGGGACTGTCGAAACCGGCCGGAATTAGCTATACCATCGGCATACTTCGGAAACTGTCTGGCAATGTGTATCACACGACTGATGGGGAGTGAACTGGTGGGGGAGAACGGCGTGTTTGCAGCTACCAAAGCCACTGGAAACAGAGTCGAGCAATTTAAAAACGGTGCATTAAAAGGAGCTGAGAACTGGATTACTAATTGGATCGAAATATCAGAAACAGGTCGCCTTTCAACGGTGGCCGGCTCCCCTAAGCTGCGTGATTACGATATCGATTTCGGGTGGGGGAAACCGAAGTAGACCGACGTGGTGCATTCTAATGCTTCGTCAACTATATATGTTGAGGACTGTAGAGACGAAGAAGGAGGTATCGATATCGGTTTGACACTTAAAAGAGAGGAAATTGAGGCATTTCACCGGCTTCTTTGAACAAGGCTTGAAGGCGGTTTAACTGGTTTCCCCGTCAACTCATCTCTCCGACCAGAGCAATCTCGGACATTTTTGGGTCCATGAGCAACAATTAATTTAATATTTTATTAATAAATCTTAAAAAATAACTAAACTTTGTCAAACACATTATTAATGACTAATGAATAAGGCTCTAGATGTAAAGATTAAAAAAGTAGGGCCCTAATTGTAAAAATTAAAGCAGCGAGGCCTGAGCTGCCAAGAGCCGGCTTTGTCTCCGATGGTGGTGGAATTTGTGGTGTTTTATTTCTGCATGTAGTTTGCTTTGCTTTTGTTGGTCACATTCCAATTTTATCTCAACCTATATATATATATATATATACTAGTAATGTTCATTGTTAGTAAAATCGTTAGGCCAAGTTACATTACCATATATTTGGAAAAAACCAAAATTTAGGTTAAAGTATCATTGAAACTAATCACATATTTGAATGGATTTGAGATAAAATTTGAATATTCAAAAGTTTAGGGATCAATTTAGAAAAAGAGTCATAGTTTGGGGATAAAATTAGAATATTCAAAAGTTTAGAGACTAATTTAGAAAGAGAATAATAGTTTAAGAACATATGATACATTTAACTCATATATTTATAAAATTTCAAGTCTTCTGATCTTATATTATTAGCGTATAGTAATTATAAAATCAAATGAATTTTAAAAAATATTATCTCAATCGAACACCTCAATATATATATATTAATTTTATACCATACTTGTATTTAAAACACCACACTAAACGGATTGTTTATATTAATTTCTGATTTTTTTCAATCCCTATGATTTAATATTTTTCAATTTAACTTTTTTATTAATTTAGAGTAAGTATAAGATAATATTTGTTCAAAGATAATTTTAAACAATCATTTAATATTAAACTCTCATTCTTCTATTATTCTTGGTGCTCAAATTTGAGTCCTTAAAGAATAAAAAAGTTAGACACGTAATATATCTTATCATACAAACTCTTCAAATGCACGTATGATAAAATTTAATTTTGGATAGATTACGTATTTAGTATCTAGATCATTAGTTTTGGTTTATTTTAATATCTAAACTTTCAATTTTTCAAAAATATACCTAACCTTTAATTTTCATTTCATTTTAGTATCCCGCTGTTAAAAACTTAATCCGTTTAATACCTAAACTATTAGTTTTGGCTGTTTTCGTGCATAAACTTTTAGTTTTTTCAAAACTTAACGTTAAATTTTGAACAGTGATACTAAAGTGAAACAAAAACTAAAATATTGAACGGTGGGGTACTAAAATTAAATAAAACCCAAACTTTAGGTATGATTTTTTTTTTAAAAAAAATAAAAGTTTAGTTACTAAAACAAACTAAAATTTATAGTTTATATACTAAAAATGTAATTTTTCCTATAATTTTCCCTTAAATGAAACATTATATAAAAAATATACATTATTTCTGTAATTAATTAATTTTAAGTATCGTTACTTAAAATAATTAAAATAGTAATATTATTTAGATTAAAATCCCAAAGAAGTACACTGAACGAATATTGTTGTATTGGATAAATAATTAAATTAATTCAGCTCACCGCGTCATTCGTAACCCTAACTAATAAAATATATTCATCTTAAGATAATTTTTAAATAATTATTTATTTATTTTTTACATATAAAAAAGATGTAAAAATTCACATTCATTTGATTCTTCAACTCGATGGTCAACATTGTAAGAGAGTAAGCACCTACTACGTGCGTACCAAAAAATAATAAATTACATCAAATATCACTATACTTTTATAAATTAAATTACTTTTATAAACTAAATTAAAAATAATAATATTAATTTTCATCCCTTATAACAAAACATATAAAATTATCATAATTTTAAATGTATAATTATATTAATTATCGTTTTAAACAATATACATAAAAAATAATATATATTCTAGAAACTTTCAATCATTTGACAATTAACGCTCAAATATCTTATAATTTTTAGTTGTCTCAACATACATAAAAAAAGAAATAATATATGTTATAAAAACTCTCGATCATTTGACAATTAACGCTTAAATACTCTATTCAAATACTCTATAATTTTTAGTTGATACATCTAAAAATAACAAACATTATTTTAATTATTAAAATATGCATGCCAACCAGCAGTACAAATGCTACAGTCCTAGATGCTTCAAATTCTGTTCAAAAACGGCAACGAATTCATCCATTTGATTCTTGTTTAAAGCTAGACCCACCTCAATTCCGCCTTGCCCATCCCTACATTCCGCCATGGACATCGCTCCGTCGTGGTCTATATGTGCCAGCTCAACCTTGCAGGGCTTTCCCCACCCAAAATCCGTATCATACACTCCTAGTTTTGGTGATCCGGCAGTCGGCGTAAGACGCCCAGTTATTGCTCGTTTTCTTATAGCCGATACCGGATCCTCTGCCCATTCCCAACCACTTCTCATAGCTTCTTTAATCGCTCTCCCGATGGCCTTCGCAGCTAAAACGATCCCGTCTTCTCCGATCAATTCGCTTCTTTTTACGTCGACAATGCATGGTCTTAAGCAGTTCCCCAAGTATGTTGTCGGAACCGGAAATTCTAAACGGTTCCGACAATCACTCGAAAACATGAAGTAATAGAACTTATTATCGTCGTCGTCGTTATCCGATAAATTATAGGCAAGGTTTTCTTTCGATTTAATCAAAGAAACCCATACGAAGGCACATGTGACCATGAAAGTCGAGATGTGATTTTGCTCTGCATCACCTGTTGTAACCAATTGTTTTAGTCTCTCAGCTCGAGCTCGATCGAATGTGAATGTGGCCCGAACCTTGTTTGATGTTATATCTTTGGGTGGTGCTGAATTTTCGCCACGGGATGATACCCAGTGCCAGTAATTCTTCAGGTAAGCCAACTCTAGGCCAGCAGGATCCTTGACAACATCCTTATTAATAAGGGGAAGTGAATTTTCGAGACGAATTAGGTCACCATCCGTGGCACCAGACCTATTACCAGACGCCCAAAACCTCATGAAATGCATAAACGACTTACCGTCACCGACCGTGTGATGGTAAGTCGATCCGATGCAGATCCCGGAATTCGGAAACACGGTGACTCGAAGCGCTATGACTGGAAGCACACGGATTCCGTCCTCAGTCACTTCTTCCGACGGAAGTTGCGGGACGAAGGGGTGTAACAATTCCACGTCCCGCGGATAATCGGCCACGACGTGGTCGAAATCTTTGTCGGATTCAGCGACGGTGAAGGCAACGGAGTCGCCATCCGTGTAATGGATAAAGGGCTTGCCGGGAGATGGAGGGCACATGATGTTAGCTGCGTATGGGAAGAAATGTTGGAGGGTCAAGGAGAGGGAGCGTTTGAGCATAGGAAGAGTGGTCTCCATGAAGTACAAAGTAGGGTGAGGGAATTTATAGAAGAAAAGGCGTTGGACATTAGGACAAAATAACCACGGCATGTCAAAATAAGTGAGCCGCAATGACACCGTCGGAACCACCCCCGGCGGCGGCGAAACAAGAAAGCTGTCGAGAACCTTAACCATACTGCTTTCCAACCACCTATGATAAAAATCCAGAAATTTTGCAGGCTTTCACACCTCACACTCCACACACCATTATACATAGGATGGAGTTGTAGCAATATATAATTTTATACTATAGTTTATACAGCTACCAAGTACATAACACAACTACCAAGTAAATATGAAAACATGCACAACTACCAGTAAATAATATAAAAATATATATTTTAAATACTTATTTTAAAAAATATATTTTAAATATCTAATTTGAAGAAAATGATAAATTTAAATTCTCACTTTAAATCAAAAAATATTTTAAAAGTTTAAATAAAAAACATAATATATTTTAATTACTTATTTATTATATAAATTTAATAAAAAAAATAAAAAAAATATGCACAACTACCAGTAAATAAGACAGTAATAATTTAAAAATATGCACAACTACCAAGTAGATAGATAGATGGCCATGTCTTTCACAACAAGTGGTGGAGTAATGACCAAAACTAAACTAAGAAAAGGGTAAACTAAATTTTCATCCAACTAGTAATGATTTTTTTTGTTTGGATCACCACATTACTTTTCTAAAAATTCAATCAACGACGTTATGTTTCTTTCTTTTTCATTGATCATTAATTTTTTGTGTGTGGATAATTTATCATTAAATTTTTGTTGATCAAAGACGTGTTTATTCAAGGTAAAATACACAAATAGTCACTCGACTATAATACTCATTTTACTGAGTTCTTCAATTATTAAAAATTATAAAATTATCCTTCGATTACATGTCGTTGCTTTGTTGACTCCCCGAATTGAAAGTTACAAAATAGTCACACAACTATTTATATGTTCTAAATTCGTCATTCCCCGTTAAGAACTGATAACAATATGAGCTGAACGTTAACTTGCTGACATGTGATATTATAAAATATGATGTCAGAATCTCAAACGAACATCATATCGCATTCAGAATATGATATAAGATGACCTTCAATTTTTAAAAAGAAATAGTGATTTTAGAACATATGAATAGTTGAGTGATCATTTTGTAACTTTTAATAATTGAGGGACTCAACAAAGCAATGCCCTATAGTTAGAGGACATCTTGTAACTTTTAATAGTTGATAGATTCAACAAAGTAATCCTCTATAGACGAGGGATACATTTTGTAACATTTTATTCATGTTTCTTTTTTTCCCTCAATGATCATTAAATTTTTGTTCATCAAAGGCGTTATGTTTATTTAGGGTAAAATACACAAATAGTCCCTTGATTATAATACTCATTTTATTGAGTTCTTCAATTATTAAAAATTATAAAATTATCCTTCGATTACATGTCGTTGCTTTGTTGAGTCCCAAACTATTGAAAGTTATAAAATAGTCACCCAACTATTTATATGTTCCAAACTCGTCCTTTCACGTTAAGAACTAACAACAATATGAGTTGAACGTTAACTTGATGGCCTGTGATATGATAAAATATGATGTTAGAATCTCAAACAAACATCATATTGCATTCAGGATATGATATAAGATGACCTTTAATTTTGAACAAGAAATGGTGATTTTAGAACATATGAATAGTTGAGTGATCATTTTGTAACTTTTAATAATTGAAGGACTCAACAAAGCAATATCTTATAATTAGAGGACATTTTGTAACTTTTAATAATTGAGAGAGTCAATAAAGTAATCCTCTATAGTCGAGGGATGCATTTTTATACTTTACCCTTTCATTTAGTGGGTAAACTACGCGTTTAGTAAGTAAATATCAGTTTTGATTCATTTTAGTACTTAAACTTTCATTTTTTTTCAAAACCATACCTAACGTTTAGTTTTTGTTTCATTTTAGTACCCCGTCGTTAAAAACTTTCACGGACGGATTGACGTAGCATAGCTCTGATGGATGGACTACCAATTTAAACGGTGGACCATGAGAGAATAACGAGTTGACCAACAAAGTCCAATTTCAAGTCCATCGGACAATGGACCATGGAGATTGGAGGATGAAGAAATCGAAGAGTTCATCGTCAATTTGGGGAGATTAAGGCATTTCTAGGTGAAACGGAGGTCGAAATTGCATTTAGGGGATCAAAAAAGTATGGGCTAGAACGTTTGAGCTTCATCGATTGACAGATGCGACGAACAATGACTGTAGACGGTCGGCGAACCTGTCCGTTAAGTTTTTAACGACGGGATAACCAAATGAAAAAAAAAAATTAAACGTTAATAATTATTTTGAAAAAAAAACTCAGAAGTTTAGATACTAAAATGAACCAAAATTAATCATTTAGGTACTAAAAACATAATTTACTCATTTAATATATATTATTTTATTTCAAATTAATTGCTAACTAATTTGAAAATTAATCGAAAGTTAATTAGGAACAAGCTCGCACTTAAACCACGAACCAATTCATCAAATACTCCCAAGTTCTCAAATTTAAATTTCACTTTATTTTTATAGACTAAAATCATTACTTCAAAATCGGATCGCTTGTGGGAGCTTTCCTTATGATCTAACGGCTCATATTCTCTTCCGCCTAACGACTAATTTTGTTCAACGGTCATACATCTCTCTCCAATTACTCCTCTGTCGCTCTTTCCCAGTTGCCCTAGATTATTCAAAGCTTATTGATGGTAAAAAAGATCTTCAAAGCTCAGCAAAAGTTCATTGAATTCTTCGTAATTTTGGTACACTCAAATACGCAGTTGATTTTCGTTTTTCTTCGAGCAGTTCTTGATTGAAAGCGCGAAAGATGAGTATTCTGCAATACCCAGATTTGGTGAATGTGTCGACGCTTCACGTTTGGAACAACGCGGCATTCGACGATGGAGGATCCGAGGATACAACCGCCGTCAGGGTTTCTTTTGCTAATCTTGAATCCGTACCGGTGAACCGGTCGCTGGAATCTGATTGTGGTAAAGAAAACCTAAGCCCGCCTTGCCTAAAATCCTCCGTTTCTTTCAAAAGAAAAGAAGGGGAGAAGCGTGACGAGAAGAAGATCGATATGGAGATTGAAGCTACCGAGAAGGAGATCACTCGTCTGTCGTTGAAGCTCGAAACTGTCGTTGAAGCTCGAAACTCTTCGACACGAGAAGGCCGAATGTAAAGCGAGGAGGGTTTCGATGAGAGGGAGAACAGTGGCTTCTAAATTCATGGTGCAAAAACAGAGCACCACGAATCTCGAGAAGAAGATCGAAGATCCTTTGTTTTCGAGTGCTAAAACAAAATCGAACCGTGTGGTGGATCTCGCCACCCCCATGCAGAGCCGCCGCAAATCGTGTTTCTATAAGCTACGAGATAGGGATGAAGACAAGGTTAAAAGCAGGAAAGGCAAGAGCTTGAGCTTGAGTGTCAGCCCAAAATCACGCCGAACAACATCCAAGGCTCAGCCTCCAAGGCCGGCGGCGACCACGGCGGCGTCTAAAAGAGCTGTGAAGAAAGAAGACGGGGTTCTTGCTACAATTCAACCCAAAAATCTTTTCAAAGAGGGAGAAAAATCAATAACCGCGAAAAAACCACCCAAACAGGGAAGGGTGGTGGCGAGCCGGTATAATCAGATTGTCAACCAAAGCAATGGGAATTTGGCTAGTAACATTGCTCGAAAGCGGTCTTTGACGGAAAGCGATAAGGAGGAGAGTAACAGGCAGGGCAAGAGGCTTGCTTTCCATGAAGAAATGATAGATTCCTGCAAGAGCCAGAAGCGTAAAAGCAGAGTGAAATGGGAGAATCTATGTACAGAGTGAATTGAATCGAGGGGAATGAAGATGAATAGTGATCGTTTCACAGTTTGGTCTTGGTTCTAGGTGTTTTGAGTAGTGAACCATAATTCTTTGTTATGGGTTAAGACGAGTTAGTTTGCTTATTGCGTAAATGACTGCTTAAGATTTCACTCTATACTATGAAATGAAGTGGGTATGTGTGTTTATCACGTGTAAAACTATCAATACTTTGTAGTTCGTAAACATGAAATCGTTGTAAGAATATTTTATATCTTCCTGCCTGTAAATATTAGAAGAAATTATTAAGCAAATCGAGTACTGTTTAATTTTTACTGAAAAACCTTTTAAAATCTACCAAAAGAATCGACAAATATATTTATGTTAATTGTTTATTTTACTTGAGAGCACGTCCAGAAATTTAAAACATACATGGAACGTTCCTTTAAAGCACAAATTATTATTGAGGTGGGTAGCTTAGAAGTGCAGTTGTTAAATAAAAGCTTCAAATCATTCATGCAGCATTCCTTTAACCGATACTATAAGATTGATGTTTGAATGTACATGGCTAAACACACAACAATACAGCACAAGCTACATAAATCCATGTCATTCCCTGCGAAATTCAGAAAAGTAAAGCAATATAGTGCTGTTATTTAACTCCGATCTCGTGAAAATTGCAAGAGAAAGAAGCTGATGACAACACACAACTATACGAGTTTATCAGACCATAAACCACATTTCAGGTTCAGGGTATAGTGAAACTCGATCAAAAAGGATAACATTATCTGAACAATCACGAAAGCCTCGGTTGAATCCTTGAATTTCAAGGAATTGCAGCTTCCACCAAGTAGGTTCGTTCTTGGTTCCACTGCACCTCATCCAAAAGTGGATTATATCATCATCGGCTCACCAAAACTACTTTAAAATGAACAATTTACTTTAATGAAGTCTCAGGAACATCCAGTAGTTTCATGAATGATGTAGCACCTCAAGTAGGTTCCCCTGAAATTCAGGGCTTGAAGAAATCTACATCTCAAACAAAAGGATGAATCATCACGGACAATTTAAAGAAGAAATACGAATAAATTATTGATTTTATTTTGAAAATCGAAGAGGCATAGATGAGCAATTCAGCTTCTCGATCAAGAATTTTCTGAAGCAGAACTGGCATGATAAGCTGTAATTTAAATCTTCGTAGCCAACTGCATAAATCTTACTAGAATCTTGCTGTGGACCGGCTCATATCAAGAAATTCAACCATTTTTACCGTAAATATGCTTCACTGATTGGCTCTCAGAAGCGCGGATAAAACAAAACTTAATCATCGCCGACTCCAAAAATCAAATCGAAAGAAAAAAAGATGTAGCGGATGTTTTTAGAGGCGAAATCATGAGAGGAAATGCCCCCACGTGAAACACCGCCGGATCAGGTATATGCCTCTATGACTAGCCTGATTTCCGGTCAGTTCGTCGGAAACAAGCTAAAGGTGTAGTGAGGCAAAAACAAGATTAGAGATGTAGCCGCCGATTTGACACAGAAGAGCCAGTCGATGAACAAAGGCTACTCCGCAACACGTGAAACGGCATGGATCTAGCACCAACATTGGGGCTTTGATCTTCATAGTTACAGATTCGGATAAGCCCGGGAGAGTTCGTGCAGATGAAAACGAAAAACAATTTTGCAAACAAAAACTTGAATGCTTTCAACGTCTAACTTAACAAAGATGAAACAACTGGTGCAAACGTACACTAACAAGCACATAGCATACCTTCGGCTACCGCTTCTTGAAGATGAGAGGGTGAAGAGAAGAGGCGAGCTTCAATCATTTATATAGAGATATTTTTCTTCAGAAACCCTAGATGTAGAGTTAAAACTTAAAACCCTAAACAGTTAGTTGCGATACTTGGATTGGGCTTCTATCTCACTGGATCAAATGTGATTTTGTATTTTAGATGGGCCCTGAAGTCCAGCTAAAGTTATTCTAACTACATAGGCTAAACTACGAATTTAGTACTCAAATTAACTTTTATTTTTTTGAAACTATACCTAACATTTAGTTTTTGTTTTATTTTAATACTCACCATTAAAAATTTAACATGTTTAGTACCTAATCTATCGGTTTTGGTCCGTTTTAATACATAAACTTTTATTTATTTTTTCAAAATTTAATGATAAATTTTAAATAGAAAATAATTGAAACGATTGGAAGTTTAGGTACTAAAACGTACAAAAACTGATAGTTTAAGTATTAAACACGTACTTTATCTTACATTAATATTGTATATGCTTGGATAGAAAATAATACCTTTCTTGCATGCAACAATTTTACTTTAACATAAATTAAATGTGTTTTCACTGTGAAAATACATTATAAAATAGTAAATATTATCATAAATAAACTAAAATAAATAATATTGGACTCGTTCTCAGCGTACGTTTGAGACATTTCAATTTGTATTATAATAGTAATTGAAATATAATTAATACTAGGGATGATTATGGATTAGATTAGGTTGGGTCGAGTGTTTAGTCCACCTAAATTCGACTTGAAAATTAAATTCCTCTACTTACATTCGACCCGATCTGATTTTAGAAGGGTCTCACTTGACCCCAAAATTGACATGATTTTTTATATAAAAATCAGCACTTGACATGATTTATATGAAAATTCATTTTTATTATATAAAATAAGAACATAATTGAAAAAAGAAAAATGATATTATTACAATCATCTTTAAATATGTAGTAGATAATTATAATATTATGTCGGGTTGGATAAAATTTCCGTCATCATAAACTCAAACTCAACCTGGTCCAAACATTAAAAAAAAACCCAATTTGACCCAAATTCGATTTTTCAAAATAAAAAATTAACTCAATCGGGTCGGGTCTAGGTGAAATGGTCATCCATAATCAATATATAAGAAAATATCAGGTCCATCCAAAAATTCATCACAAGTTTGTTGATGATCCAAATTTAAGAAAAAAAAATCAATTTCATAAGATATTACATAGGTTCATTATCGGGGTAACCCTCCCTACCTAATTTGCTTCCATCCACGATGTCAAGATTCGAAATAATGATCTTACTAGTGTTTATCCATTAAATCAACTAGTTATTGGTATATAAATTAATATTTTTAAATATATTAATCAAAATTAACATTTAATGTTTATGGCTGATGGCTAGTTTAACAAAATGATTTAATTGAAACAATAGTTCAATTGAAGCATTTTAATGTTTAAGGGCTAATTGAAGATACTAGCCCATAATTCAGGGGTGTTTGATGAAATTATCCCATAGTAACTAATTACACTTTTTATTATTTACAGGGTAAAATATACAAGAGGTTACCAAATTATATTGAAAATAATTTTTTATTAATGGATTTTCAAATATTATAAAAATTTACTAAACTGCTATAAAATGATATTTATAAGTTACAAAATAAGAAATTAATAATTATTTATAATATTTATAATCTTAATCCGAGTGTCCACATCATTACAACAGAAGCACACATTCTATAATCAAACAAGTGTTAAATACAGTAAGACTCTGCTTCACTGCCTCCACGCTTTCCCTTTCCCTTAATTCCAATTTCCAAATCAAACGCAATCCACTCATTCACTTTCATTTCCCGAATTAGATCACCGACAACTGCTTCAAGGGGAGGATCATCGAAATCCCTGTCAAAAAGAGTGGTGGTTTTCTTGGGGTGGAATTGTTTGTCTGTTGTCCTTGAAGCAGACGGGACTGGTAGGAGTCGTGAAAGATGAGGCGGAGAGGATTGGATTTTAGGAGGCCGGTGCGGAGGAGGCTTTCCAATGTTGTGTGGTGGATAATGTGCGGGATTGTGGTGTTAGTCTTCTTCATCGTGATTTTCACCAAGGAGGCTCAGATTGATTCTAGACCCTCTCTTCCTAGGGTAAAGATCTACTCTCTTTTCTCATTTTTTTTTGGTAATTCGTGGACCTATTTGAACGGATTTCTATTCTGGGTAACGTTTAAATTAGTTAATTAAGTTGAATTTCGGAAAAATTAATATTCTTCTTATAATTGCAACCATTGGTCATCTCTTGTGCTGTACTGCAGTTTCTCACGTTATTTTGAGGTGTCTCAGTTTTCAGAGGTTTATATATTACCTTATTCCGAATGTTTCATTGGGACACACTTTTTCAGGAAGAATTGTGTAGAATATGTTCTTTGTTAGATGCATTACTTTGTATGGATCGACTTAGCTGAAATGGTGTCGGTTTAATAGCTAAATGGTTATGGTCATGCGAGTGTTAGTTTTTGGCCAGCAGGATAACAAAAACTCCTTTTCACGTCAATTATCATCTATTCATGCTAATTGCTAAAGCGGATCATTCAGACTTACTCGGTTTTCATCCGTATAGTTCTCTCGAATTACTTGTACGTGTTGAAAGTAGTAGCTTGGCATTGTCACTTCAGATTACTAATTGTATTTAAAACAGAAGTTGGGAAGTAGAATTCTAAATTGAAGGCTCGCGCGACTTTGGTGGCTGTGCATATTTGATCCTGTAAAAAGTTTTTATTGTTCGTTTTAATATGCGTTGGTATTCCTTGTTTCCAGAGACCTTATCATTATGACAGAATTTTGGAAGGCCTAAACATCACTGATGAAATGCTAAGCCCCAACTCTGTCACGAGGCAACTTAGCGACCAAATTTCTCTTGCAAAGGCTCTTGTTGTGATAGCGAAAGAAAGCAACAATCTCCAATATGCGTGGGAATTAAGTGCCCAGATCCGTATTTCAGAGGCCCTTCTGTCAAATGCTGCGACTAGGAGAACTCCTTTGACTGTTGGAGAATCAGAGACTGCAGTTCGTGATATGGCACTTTTGCTATACCAGGCCCAGCAACTCCATTATGACAGTGCAACAATGATTATGAGATTGAAAGCCAAAATCCAAGCTCTTGAAGAACAGATGAGTTCGGTGAGTGAGAAAAGTTCAAAATATGGGCAAATTGCAGCCGAAGAAGTCCCCAAAACTCTTTACTGTCTCGGCGTTCGGTTGACTACTGAATATTTTGGAAACCCTAATTTACAAAGGAAACTGAAGGAAAGAAAGCAATTGGATGCAAAACTTAGAGATAACAGTCTGTATCATTTCTGTGTCTTCTCTGATAACATCCTTGCCAGTTCTGTGGTGGTTAACTCAACAGCTTTAAATTCCAAAAATCCTTATATGGTCGTCTTTCATCTTGTAACTGATGAAATAAACTACGCTGCAATGAAGGCTTGGTTTGCCATGAACAGTTTTTGGGGAGCAACTGTTGAGGTTCAGAAGTTTGATGACTTCAAGTGGCTGAATGCTTCTTATGTTCCAGTTCTAAAGCAGCTCCAAGATGCTGAGACTCAGAGTTACTATTTTTCTGGGCATAATGATGGCCGGATTCCAATCAAGTTCCGAAATCCTAAGTACCTATCAATGCTTAACCATTTGCGGTTTTACATTCCTGAAGTTTTCCCAGCTCTGAAGAAGGTGGTATTTCTTGACGATGACATTGTGGTTCAGAAGGATTTGTCTGGCCTATTTTCCATTGATTTGAATGGCAACGTCAACGGAGCTGTTGAGACATGCATGGAGACATTTCACAGATACCATAAATATCTAAATTACTCTCACCCCCTTATAAGAGCTCATTTTGATCCCGATGCATGTGGTTGGGCATTTGGGATGAATGTTTTTGATTTGGTTGAGTGGAGGAAGAGGAATGTGACTGGCATCTACCACTATTGGCAAGAAAGGAACGTGGACAGGACATTATGGAAACTTGGGACACTGCCACCCGGATTGCTGACATTCTATGGATTGACGGAGGCATTGGACCCGTCGTGGCATGTTCTGGGGTTGGGCTATACAAATGTCGATCCCAAGCTGCTAGAGAAAGGGGCTGTACTACACTTCAATGGGAATTCAAAGCCATGGTTGAAAATTGGGATAGAGAAATATAAGCCCCTCTGGGAGAAGTATGTTGATTATACACATCCTCTATTGCAGCAGTGCAATTTTTATTGATAAATCGCCACCGGAGTATTCCATGACCAGAGTTCACTTCCTTGGAAGCTTCTAATTTTGAGGTGAAGTATGCTTGTACTATTCTAAGAGGTCAGGCATTGCTGGTATCTGTAACATGGTATTTAATTCATTTCAACTAGCTTCTTGTAGTATAAGATTGTTCATTCATATCAATCAATTATTTAAATGTCCTTCATGAGCAGAAAAAGAATTGATCTATTATTAGTTACATCAGTCCGTAGGCTCATAGCATCCGTCATGTACACACACACGGTCACGCATACACACACATATATGTGCATATGTCTGTGCTGCTAGACTAGAAACCTGCATCTGATCTGATATGTACCAAGTATAATGAATGCCTAGTAAAATCGGTCTCGATTTTCCTAGATTTACACACAATGCTTCACACTCTCCTCTGATATCCAAATCCGACCATCATATTGGCCCGGAAATAACTATGTTGCCTCCTAAATTTTACTCTTTCTCCCTTTGGATTCATCAAAAGGAACTCCAAAATTGGCATCTGCTAACGGGACAGGGACAGTTAAAAGCTGATGCAAAGGTGAAAGTGTAGAGACAAAACAGGAGACACAAGTCTAAATTGTTATTGTTGAATATAGTTGACTAATGAATCTGAACAGCGGCAATCTTTGCCTGTATTACCAACAAATCTTTTGTCTTGTACTTTATGAAAATTGATAACTTAGTCCAGTTATAGTTTAAACACGATTAATAATTTCTACTAATTCCTTACATATAAATTGTTGAATTGTTTATATTTACTTAATTGTTTCCTAGTTCACTTGACTATGTTGGAACTTTGAAGTTTACTATTTTGGGCGAAAACTGCTATGTAAGTTAAAGCTTTAAACACAGATATGCTATGTAAGTGTGTGTGTATCTTCTTGCTTGCTTATTTATGCATTCCATAATACCCTATTTTCACAATATAATCGTCACTTCTATGGAAGCTTGGATCATAATAATCCTTCTCCATTTCTTATATTCTGAAGCAAATTTTTAACTCCATCTATCTTTCAACAAAGCACCCTCCTGACCTTCCTCTAGGTCCCGCTCCTTTCCCAATCATCGGTAACTTGCTGTTGTTTTGAAAATCTTTCAATGATCCTCAACCTGTTATGTTACTACGATTAATAACTTTTCCTGTTACGCGTTATAACATTTTGTGTTCCGCTTTTAACATGTAATATAAGTTTCCCGGTTACACCATTTTAAATTATTTTAAAATACTTACAACTTATTGTATTACATATAATTCAACTTTCCAATAGCGCTAAGCCTAATTATGTTTCTTTCAAAATTTTCAGTTGCGTCCCTTTTTAGTCTTATATTAGTCCGCCTTTCTTGAGACATTTCCATTTAGCAAGCAATGAATAAAGCTATGCTTTTTGATACTAAGTTGCCCCATATCTAGTCACCGATCAAACCCAGAAAATATATGTAATGAAGAAGCAGGTAGGGACAAACTCCACTTCATTTTCCCTTATTGCTGGCTTTAGCTCCCCTCATCTTAAATGTGAAAAGCATTTCCGATTATATTTGACGTAGAAAAGAATGTTGTATGGCGATGATTATAGTCTAATAATCCCCTACAATAATTTCTTAGTATTTTACTATTTCAAGGGTCCAATCGGGAGAGGATCATAGATCGAGTTGAATAAGATTTTTAATTTACTCGAACTCAATTAAAGTACAACATTCTTTTATCTTTCATCTGATTTGATTTAGGTTTAGGATTTTTTTTCTTGACCTAAAGTTTAAGTAAATTTTTTAGATAAAAACCTACACTCGACCTCATTTGGATCAAATCTCTAATTCAATATTTTCAATGTTTAAATTCATTAAGATTTTTTTTTTAAAGATAAGTGTAAGATCTAAAGTTATAAATATAATAATGCATAATATACCATATTTGATAAATTTGGAAAATGAGATACATTAACAAATGGTTTCCGACTGGAAAATGCAAGCACAGGTAGACTTCACTAAAATGACAACAAACTCGAATTCATTTAAACTACAAGGGGACTCATAAACCACACTATCTCGATAATCGATTGCCTTTATTATCTAATTGATTCTGAGTTCCATAGCCAATGCATGTTCAATGACGTGCACCACCATGGCCTCCCGGGATCGGCGCCTCGAAACCGGGGTTCGGAACGAACGTTTCGTCACCGCCCGGAATCTGGCTATTTCCACCACTTGGGCTGCCACTGACCGCCACTGCTTGTGGTGTGTGGATGGTGATGTTTGAAAACAGGTGGCAGCAGCACTCGCCCAAAGCCAGGAATGAGCACGCTTCGGTCGTGTTCAGAAACTCGGGGTGCTTCATTTGATCATCGTTCGTTGGAATGTCTCGAGCCGCCATCGCTTGCCCGGAAATAGCGAGCAGGTGCCGACGACGGAAAGGAGAGCAACAAACAAGGAGCTCATTTTGAAAGCCATTATAATTCACAGTTTGAAGAATGAGAAATAGCTAGGGTTGGTTCTACTTGTTGGTATGGTGGTGAGAATGGGGATTCACAAACGATTCTTATATAGGGGAAGGTTCAACTGAGTTGGTTGATCATTTGGCGGTGAGTTAAAAAGAGAGTTCCATATTGACAACACCATTTGAAGGCGACGTTCAAAAAAAAACACAGGTGAATGGATCCGAATTTTTTTATGTTAATATTGTTCAGAATTTTTGTATATATGCCGTAATGACCCTATTAACCGAAAACCAACTAGATTAATTGATCAATTTGGTCCACTATTGACTATGAGATGGCCATCTAACTCAGTTGGTAGAGTATAATATTCTTAATCTTAAGGTCATGGAATCAAATCTCACGGAAAGTATTTCATAATTCGAAGGTATTCTACGAAAATTGCTCTCAATCTAATGTTGAGAACAACCTATTATCTTATCCCATTACATATAGGAATAAGGACGACCATTTTTATTGACTATATAAACCAATTGACTATATAAACCAACTGGTGAAGGGTTTAGCATTTTCATGAAATTGAGCCGTGGGGCATGTGTTGCCACATGGACACTGCTAGATCATTATCGTAGATTTCATTGGGTCCAATCTCATCCATAGATCTAAAACTCAGATAAGGTGATAAATGCTCTCTTCTAATTTCTCGAGCCACCAGCACAAGAAATTAACCATGGCCTCCCCACCATTGCTAACCCCAACAACGTCAAAACTCAAACCCCTCCTCCCCATCAAAGCAGCCGCCACACCCTCTCCGCCGCCGCACCAACAACCCTTAGTACGGCGCCGATTCTTGTCCCTTGCCGCCGCCGCCACGGCAACTCTTTCTCTTGCGGGGCCGCGACCAGCAGTTGGTGCCTCGGACGAGGAGTACGTGAAGGAGTCCGCCGAAGTGATCGGCAAAGTAAGGAACACCATAAATATGGATAAGAACGATCCGAACATCGCGGCCGCCGTGGCTGAGCTTCGAGAGACGTCGAACTCTTGGGTGGCTAAGTACAGAAGAGAGAAGGCTTTGTTGGGCAGAGCTTCGTTCCGTGACATTTACTCGGCGTTGAATGCTATTTCTGGGCATTATATTAGCTTCGGACCAACGGCGCCGATCCCTGCAAAGAGAAAGGCTAGGATTCTTGAAGAAATGGACACTGCCGAGAAAGCTTTATCTCGAGGAAGATGAAAAAACCGCAAAGTACCGGTGGCCGGCCACCACCACCACTCACCTACGGAAGCCGGATTTTTCTTTTCTTTTCCCTTAAACTTGTTGGTTTCACTGCTTAAATAGTGCCTATGTAATTTATGAAGCTTGAGATTGTAAATTTGTGGTTCGGTTGGATAAATTATACATTGAGTACCTAATCTATTAGTTTTAATCTTTTTAGTACCTAAAGTGTAGATTTTGTTTCATTTTAGTATCTACCGTTAAAAATTTTAGTTTTTGTTTCATTTTAGTATCATGTTTAAAGTTTAACGTTAATTTTTAAAAAAATTGAAAGTTTATGTATTAAGACGGACCAAAATTAATAGTTTAGGTATTAAACGCGTTATCTTTTAACGTAAGTATTAAAATAAAATAAAAACTAAACATTAGATATAATTTTAAAAAAATTAAAATTTTATATATTAAAATATATTAAAATTAATAGTTTAAATATTAAATACGTAATTTAATTTTTTATATGGTTACAACTTAAACTCTCGATGTTTATAGTTTTTGTCAATTTATCTCACATTCTTTTCTGGAATTAATACATTTTCTAAACACATAAAACCCAATCAAATTAAAGGGTAAAATTTACCCAATAGGTTAAGAGGGTGAAATAATTAACCCATTATGCTATATTTAAAATTAATTTGGGATTTATGGTATTTGCTACAGTGATTTAAAACTTGTCACGTTGATATGACTAGTTCGAATTATTTTTTTATTAAACCTTGTCCTCCCGACTTGATAAATTATAATAAAAATACATTTTATTAAAACTTGTCACGTTAACACGATGAGTTTGAATAAAAGATATTATTTGAGTAAACTCATTATGTGGACGTGACGAGTTTATCGTGAACTGTAACATTTACCGTAGATATCAAATTAAAATCCGGTTGGCCTAATGGACTAATTTTTATACCCGTTTGGCTTATTGGGCCAATTTTGCCCAAATTAAAGGGGCGTTTAATGGGCAAATCAAAATTTAAAGTCCAATCAACAATATAATGTTTCAATTTCATTCAGAGCCCAATTACGATGACTATGAATATAATGTTTGGTATTATTTTTTTCCTTCAAACTTTTATTTTTGTCAAATTGACTCAGACATAAAGATTAATAACACTATTTCATCCTTATCAAATGTTCACATCAGGAGCGATTTTGTGCTTGCTCAGGTCACAAAGTGCGGCCAAGGCACAGATATTCTTCTCCAAGAACTGCGATGCCAGCAGAAGAAACCTTATAGGCCAAAGTTTGGGTATGAGGTGGTAGAAAACTTAGGGAGGTACCTAGGTGTTCCATTGCTCCACAGCAGAGTAACCAAGGCAACCTACAGTTATCTCATCGAGAAGGTAGAACAACGGTTATCAGGGTCAGGGTGGGCAGCAAAAACGCTTTCCTTTGCAGGCCGTATAACACTGGCGAAAGCGGTGTTACAGACTATCTCATCTTATGCTATGCAATCCTCCTGGTTACCGAAAGGGGTATGTACTATGTTAGAGAAGTTAATCCGGCGCTTTGTTTGGAACGCAAATGAGGGATCAAATCCGCTTGCTTTGATTAAATGGAGTACTGTGAAGCTTCCAAAGGAGAATGGTGGCTTAGCTATCAAACACTTGGAGGGCCAAAATAAAGCTTTTCTGTTAAAGATTGGTATGCAGCTAGTCCAAGGAGTTGACAAGTTGTGGGTTAAAGTTATCCGGAGCAAGTACCGTTGGTCGGATAACGGGTTTATGATGACGAGTCGAAGGCGAGGTTCCTGGCTCTGGAACGGATTGAAATGTGTATGGGGGAAAATACAAAAAAGCCTGTTTTGGTCAGTGAAAAACGGGAATCGTATTGATTTTTGGAATGATATTTGGTTGGATGATACTGGGCCCTTAATTCATCATAGCCTTGTGGGAGCTAATCCGCCGGCTGTAATGATCAGCTCCTTGGTTACGGCATCCGGCGAGTGGGACATGGACCGAATTAAACAGCTTGTACCGGAGAGTATTTGCTATAAAATTGCCGCTATTTGCCCTCCCAATGCGGCTTTTGGAGAAGACTCACCAGGGTGGCGTTGAGAGTAGAATCACAGGTTAACGGTTAGATCGGCGTATAAGGTTCTGATGGCGCCGGTGCCGATAGAGACTGATGCTTCTTGGAGCGAAATTTGGGCTCTGAATGTCCCACGGCGTATCCAAACTTTCTTGTGGTTAGCTGTTCATGGAAGACTCCTAACGAATGCTGAAAGATTATTCATATGGCTGCTTCTAATCTTTGCGATCTTTGTCACAATGAGGTGGAAGATGTGAGCCATGTTCTCCGAGGGTGCACGTAAGCTCGGAATTTATGGCGCCGATTGATTGCTGAGGATAGGTTCCAGGACTTTGTCACAATGCCGGTTAGAGATTGGTTGCAAATTTAAGGGGCCAAGGAAGCTTCCCCATAAATGATAAGACATTGGGAAGTCCTCTTTGCTGTTATTTGTTGGAAGATTTGGAAGAGAAGATATAGCTTACTTCTTCAACCGAATTACATGGACAAAGATAACTTGCTGGTTGATTGTTTCAAGATCAAGAATGAGATCATCGCTGCTCGGGGTGCCGAAGATGGGAATAATCAGCTTCAAAGTCAAAAAACTTGCTGGCAGAAACCTCCTCTTGGGTGGGTTAGAGGAAACTCTGATGGAACCATGGATTGCTTGTCCAAAATGGCTACTGCAGGTGGGGTTATTCGAGGTTCGGACGGTGATTTTTCTAAGCTGCTTCTTCGCTTTTTATCAGAACAGAGTCGGCTTTGCGTTTTGCATGACCTGTGTAAAGTCAAAAATTGAGGAGGGGTGGGCACCGCCACCGTCCGAAGGAATTCAAAGAGGCGCATGATTTCTTTAAAGAGAAAATAACCTCGGTGACCAAAAATCTCAGATAATATACGATTTTGACCAATTTTTTTTGGATTTGCGAAAATGACCAACAAAATCGCAATGCGATCTCTAATTCGCATTGCGATATCCACTATCGCAAATTCGCGTTGCGATAGTTGAAAATCGCGTTGCGATTTTCCATTTCGCGTTGCGATAGTTGAAAATCACGTTGCGATTTTCCATTTCGCGTTGCGATAGTTGAAATTCGCGTTGCGATTTTCCATTTCGCGTTGCGATGGTCTACAGTTGTCGTTGCGATTTTCCAAATTCGTTGCGATAGTCTACAGTTGTCGTTGCGATTTTCCAAATTCGTTGTGATAGTTAAAAAAAAAGATTTTGTTTCTTAAGAATTTTCTCTAAAAAGATAGTATCCGCGCGGACGTGTCGAAGACATGTATTACCACGACCACGACCACGACCACGACCCGACCCGAGACGAGACGGACGGCGGCGGCGCGCGCGAGAGTCCCCCTTATTCTCTATCACTCAACAAGGAAGTGGGAAAGCCAAGCCTTAAATACCATTCACAATAGTGTTTCCAATACTATGTGGGATTTGAGCATTACCAACACTTGTTCCCAATACTATGTGGGATTGAGCCTTAAATAGTGATATTATTTTTGAATGTTTTGCTTAAAATTACAATAATCGCGATTGATAGTAGATTGACTTTTAATTATGACATATTTAATCGTATAATACTAATGTAATTGGTTGTTGATTCAGTTGTTTTAAGGTGCATGATTGTTAATTGTTTCCTGAATAATCACATTGTATTGGAAACAAGTGTTGGTAATGCTCAATCTCACATTGTATTGGAAACACTATTGGGAATGGTATTTAAGGCTTGGCTTTTCCACTTCCTTGTTGAGTGATAGAGAACAAGGGGGACTCTCGCGCACCGTCGCCGCCGTCCGTCTCGTCTCGGGTCGTTGTCGTGGTCGTGGTAATACGTGTCTTCGACACGTCCGTGCGTATACTATCTTTTTAGAGAAAATTCTTAAGAAACAAAATCTTTTTTTTTTCAACGAATTTGGAAAATCGCAACGACAATTGTAGACTATCGCAACGCGAAATGGAAAATCGCAACGCGATTTTCAACTATCGCAACGCAAAATGGAAAACCACAACGCGATTTTCAACTATCGTAACGCGAAATGCAACGCGAATTTGCGATGATGGAGATCGCGTTGCGATTTCAACTATCGCAACGCGAAATGGAAAATCGCAACTCGATCTCCAACTATCGCAATGCGAAATGGAAAAACGCAACACGATTTTCAACTATCGCAATGCGAAATGCAACGTGAATTTGCGATAGTGGAGATCGCAATGCAAATTAGAGATCGCATTGCGATTTTTTTGGTCATTTTCGCAAATCCTAAAAAAGTTGGTCAAAATCGTATATTATCTAAGATTTTTGGTCACTGAGGTTATTTTCTCTTCTTTAAAAGGTGTAGAATTTTCAACAAAGGGGTAAAATTCGATGTTTCAATTTTTAATTAAAATTATAGATGGGTTAATTACCTTTTTAGTCACTGCACACTTTAGGGCATTTACAAGATTAGTTCTTAAGCTTAAGCTATAAATACCTTAGCCCATTTAGCTTCAAAATCATCCAAAAATATTTCTTTCTTCCTATACTAGAGAGCTTTCTTGTGAGTAGTGAGTGTTTTGTAAACACTTGAAAATTTTCTCTCTTAGTAAAAGATCTGCAGCAGCCCGGAGACGTAAGCACAATTGGCTGAACTCCGTTATCAATATTCGGGTATTATTTTTCCGCTTTTATTTCGTATTCTCACTAATCTGATTATAGGGAAATTACTTGTACTCGGTTTATTTCCTAACAACTGGTATCAGAACTTTTGGTTGTGAATTCTGTCAATTTTTTGTGAGGTTACTATTCGGGTTACTATTTACGTGAATAGTGAATTTCGTGAATAGTGAAATTCGGTCGGTGATACGAGTTTGTCGACGGAGGTGTTTTAATACACGGCGGTTCGCAGAAATTGTCAGAAATGATCCAAACGAAGCCAAATTCGAGTGGGAGCGATGCCTGCAGACGAAGGGAATGTGAAAATTGAAAAGTTCGATGGTGCGAACTTTGGATTTTTGAAGATGTAAATTGAAGATTTTCTATACCAGAAAAATCTATATCAACCCCTCTCAGGAAAACAACCAGAGGGCATGAAGAATGAAGACTGGGCTCTTCTCGACAGACAAGCCCTCGAAGTTATCCAACTGACGTTATCCCGCAATGTTGCTTTCAACATAGCAAAGGAAAAGACCACGGCGGGTCTTATGGCGGCTCTCTCCAGTATGTATGAGAAGCCATCGGCCTCAAACAAAGTTCATTTGATGAGGCGATTATTCAATTTGCGGATGACGCAAGGGGCATCGGTGGCACAACACCTAAATGAACTCAACACAATCACAACCCAGTTGAGTTCAGTGGAAATTGAATTCGATGATGAAGTTCGAGCTTTAATTCTCTTATCATCTTTACCAGACAGTTGGAATGCTACTGTTACAGCAGTCATCAGTTCGTCGGGAAACAATAAATTAAAATTCGACGATGTTTAGGATCTGGTACTGAGCAAAGAAATTCAACAGAGAGAATCGGCTGAAGCATCAACCTCCTCAGCCTTGCACACGGAGTCCAGAGGGAGAACTTCAGAAAGAAATTCAAATCGTGGCAGATAGAAATCTAGAAGGGGAAAATCAAGAACAGGAAATAAAGATTTTACCTGTTATAATTGTGGCAATAAGGGTTACTTCAAAAGAGATTGTCGAGCACCGAAGAAAAATACTGGCGCACAGGAATCTGTCAACATGAAGGAGGAGACATGTGATGCCATGATTTTAAGCGTCAACAGTCCGATTGAATCATGGATTTTGGATTTAGGGGCATCTTTCCACTCCACCCCATGCCGAGAAATCATGGAGAACTATGTCAGTGGTGATTTTGGGAAGGTTCATCTAGCTGATGATGAAACCTTGAAGATCGTCGGAAAATGAGACATCCGACTAAAGCTACCAAACCAGACCACCTAGAAGCTGACATGAGTGAGACATATTTCTGGCCTCAAAAGAAATCTGATTTCTGTTAGACAGCTTGATGAAGAAGGATATAGTAAAACCTTTTCAGGCTGTGAATGGAAGATTACTAAAGGAGCACTCGTCATTGCTCGCGGTAAGAAGACTGATACTCTTTATGTAACCTCAAATTTAGAGAATATCATTGCAGTAACAGATGCTGATAGAAAATCAAACCTATGGCACCAAAGGCTTGGCCATATGAGCGAGAAAGTGATGAAGACACTTTTGTCAAAAAGGAAACTGTCGGATCTAAAGAATGTAGATGTCGGAATATGTGAGGATTGCATCTTTGGCAAACAAAAGAAAGTCAGTTTTGCAAAGATTGGCAAGACACTCAAGGCAGAAATGTTAGAATTGGTTCATACTGATGTATGGGGATCATCCCCAGTTCCATCTCTTGCAGGCTCACTATATTATGTCACCTTCATCGATGATTCTACAAGGAAGGTGTGAATTTATTTTCTGAAGAAGAAATCAGAAGTCTTTGATACCTTCAGAAAATGGAAGGCCATGGTGGAAAATGAGACTGGTCTGAAAGTCAAGCGGTCGAGGTCTGACAATGGAGGAGAGTACAGAAATAGGAGATTTAGAGACTTCTGCGCAAACAATGGGATCAAGATGGAGACAACAGTTCCCATGACACCGCAGCAGAATGGCGTAGCAGAGCGCATGAACAGAACTCTGAATGAACGTGCCAGAAGCATGAGGATACATGTAGGATTGCCCAAATTTCTATAGGCTGAAGCTATCAACACTGCAGCTTACTTAATCAACCGTGGGCCCTTAGTTCCTTTGGATGGCAGAATACCAGAGGAAGTTTGGAGCAAGAAAGAAATAAACCTTTCACACTTAATAGTGTTTGGTTGTATTTCTTATGTACACATAGACTTTGCTGAAAGAAGTAAACTTGATGCTAAGTCCAACAAATGTGCCTTTGTTGGTTACGGAGGTGATGAGTTCGGTTACCGATTTTGGGACTATGAAAATCGGAAGATCATCATAAGCAGAGATGTCATTTTCAATGAGAATGTGATGTAAAAAGACAGGTCAACTGTAGAATCAAGCATCTCCAATACCAAAGCTGAAACAAAGGAATTTACTAAGTTCGAGGAGATTTCTGGAAATGATGTTCAGATCAGTCCTGAAGCAGTTCAAGAAGAACCAGGCACACAAGAACTAAGACGGTCCTCCAGAATTCCTAAACTAACCCAACGGTATTCTCCTTCTTTGCACTACTTATTGCTGACTGACAATGGTGAAACAGAGTGCTAGGATGAAGCAATGCAAGTGGATGATTCAGTCAAGTGGGAGTCTTCCATGAAAGATGAGATGGACTCGCTTATGTCAAATCAGACGTGGGAATTAGCTGAATTATCACCAGGCAAGAAAGCGCTTCACAACAAGTGGATTTACAGGATCAAAGAAGAGCACGATGGGAGCAAACGTTACAAAGCGAGATTGGTTGTCAAAGGTTTTCAGCAAAAAGAATGTATTGACTACAATGAAATTTTCTCTCCAGTCGTGAAACTGTCTACTATCAGACTGGTGTGGAAAATTGTAGCTGCACAGAATTTACATCTTGAGCAGTTAGATGTAAAGACAGCTTTCCTTCATGGTGATTTGGAGGAAAAAATCTATATATGAGGCAGCCAGAAGGCTTTATAGAGACAGGCAAGAAAAACCTGGTATGCAGGTTGAAGAAGAGCTTGTATGGTTTAAAACAAGCTCCTAGACAATGGTACAAGAAGTTCGATAGCTTCATGAGTAGCAGTGGTTTTACCAGATGCCAAGCAGATCATTGTTGCTATATC